GCAGATTCACATACGTTAAATAGAAAGATGTGTACACATGTGTGTGTGCATACACACAAAATATAAAATGGTTTATGTTACTGGGGAAATTGTACAACCATAGATATTTTGATGAACTGGAAATGTGTATTCATGCCATCAGTAATTTGTCTTCTTTAATAGGACATTGTGCAAGAGTGATTTTAGTGATGGCCTAATGTGTTTACAAAATGGATATATATTTAATCAGGAAATCTTTATTTGGAACTAGGCTTTGTGTTTTGGGTGGCTTTAATACTTACTACCGGAAGAGAATGCTTGTGTGGTCTCTTGATGTGGGAGTTTGTGATGAGCCATTTAAAAAAAAAAAAAACTGTTTCCCAACTCTGTATTTTGCAGTTATAAAAGGCATCTTTTACATCCACTAACCTTAGGGTATGACCACTATAAGAATAATTTATTATCACTGTTTTTCATAGTACTATGCATGAAGCATCTTGGTATTCTGTAGTGTGTTAATCATTGTCATTTGAATTTATATTCTGAGTTTTGTTTTCACCATCAATTTCACTGCTGCAGTACTGCTGCAAAAGTAAATTGGTGGGTTAGACTCAAGTCAGTTCAGCTCAGCCAGAAACCAAGTATGTTATTACTTATTTACTTATTAGGATATTCATACGTTACTTTTCTCTCCATTGGTGACCCAACATATAATATCGCTCTCCCCTCTTTCATTTTATCCTTACAATAACAACTGGTGAAAGTGGATGAGGCCAAGAGAGTGTCTGGCTCAAGGTCATACCCAGTGAGCTTCCGTGGAAGAGTGGGAATTCAACCTAAGTCACCTGGATCCTAGTTTTAATGCTCTATCTTATACACTGTGGTGATGTTAGATGAGTCGTATTTGTGTTTTGCACTAAGCACCCTTGCTCTGAATTTCTCTTAATATGCTGGTGGCACTCATTGCTTTTCCCAGTTGTCGTATGAAGCCTGGTTGTGAGAGGTAGTCGACTGGACGTTACTAGAGGGAGATGTGCTGGTGCACAGCACAAAAACGTGAGATTATCATCAAGTAGAGACTTTTAGTTGCAGCACTAGCCAGTACTTAAAGTATTTTAAAAGAATGTTGTGAGGCTTATTGAGCAACAGTTAGATTCTGTTTGTAAGATTGCCTGAGATTTCGACATGACAAACTATTGAATCTTGAGGTTAGACTCCCAGGAGAAGCAGAAGCTCTTTCTGTGACCCTGAGCTGTGTTTCACATTGTAGTTAAAGATACAAACGCCAAGAGAGGAAGAGGCACTACATAAAACAGACATTCTGGGTTATGAACATTGTTCCAGATTAACAGACATTTCTGAGAGTATGCACTATTTCAGCACACACAGTCAGGCACAGCTAGGTGTTGTACAGAGAGAAGCATATATATATGTGTGTGAAATAAAGCAGGACACTTTAAATGTGCAGTTGTAGCCAATGAAGACAGAATATGGGGCCCAGTGGGTATGAAAGAGCTGGAAAGGTTCAGATCTTTGCAGTTGTTGAAAACTAAGGGACTAGATGTATGGCTAGAAGCCAATGTTCTTTGGCTTAGAAAGGGGAACATAACCTGAGGAATGGAAATTCACTTTCTCTAGGGATAAATCCGGAAGCATAATGGGGCAGTGGTAATACCAGTGATCTCTGGAGCATAACCATTTAAGATTTTAAGGGGTTTATACTTCAACATAAGGAAAAAAAATAACTAAGTCCATGTCTGACATTATTCTGTTCCCTCTTTTTTTTGCCACAGTATTTGAATATCTGAAACATCTTTTGCACATTAACGAAGGGTGGGGAGCAATGGGCTGGATCCCAAGATCCCCTGTAGAAGCAGAAGGCAATTTCCTTATGCACAAGGAGTCACCAATTCTCACCACCACCTCCCATATTGCAGCCTTTCATGCCAAATGGCATGCTGATCCCCCCCCCGACTAATTGCAGGTGTTTATGAAATACCGGATTCGCTATGATTCTTGCTAGAATCTGGTTTAAATTATTGTGTTGCTTCCAACTTAAATTAATAGCAACATCTTTGATGATGATAACTGGGAAAGATGGATATAGTCACATCACTGAACACAGTCCAAGTTTATAAATTGACTTCCATATATGTCATAAAGAGACAGCTGCAAGAAATTTCTGCACATCTGGTTGGGTTGTTAAATAATTTCTTGGAATACAGTAACAATGTTAAAATGGTCTTAACTCTCCAAGAGCAGAATTCATTTGTTTTGCTGTATATACCAAAATAATGTTAAGAAAAGCAGGTCAGAAATGCGTGTCTAAAATAGCCCGTGCCTGTACATTAAGGACATATCTTACTCTTTCTCATTGTGGCTGCACTTGTGGTCCTTCTGGTTTTGCTAGCCCATGAGAGATTTTCTGGTATGACAATGAAGTAGCAAGACATTTTTTTACATGAATTTCCTGTAACCAATCTAAGAAGACAGAACATTCTTCAGTACCACCAGTTTCCCAGGTCTTATATTAGGGGAATGCATTCAGATCTATCTGAGCCAAAAATATACCTGAAAAATACCTTACTGGTATTTTTGGGGTATATTTCTGCTTCCCAAATGTCATCCGGGTTTTCTTGGGAAAGCCAGGAAAAAATCCCCAAGAAAATCCCAGATATATCTAGGAATTACCGGGAGATCCAAAAGAGACAGAAGCAGATAGCTCCCGCCTCTCAGCTGCTTGTCGGGCTTCTACTGTAGTCCATTTAAAGGGACTGCAGAAGACAGCCCGAGGATCAGCTGTGTCAGGTGGAGTAGAAGGTTCTCGCCAGCTCGGCTTGGGGCTGGCTTCTGCTGCAGCCTGGTTTAAACCACACTGCAGGAGAAGCTAGACCCACGATCTGTGTGCCACAGGGAGATCGCTTCCCGAGGCATGCAGATCCTGGTTGGACAGCACGCAGATCCTGGGGCCAGCTTCTCCTGCAATGTGCTTTAAACTGCGTTGCAGGAGAAGCCAAGCCAGTTACAGGATCAGGCTGGCTTTTCTTTTTACCAGTATTTTTCTTCTTGGGTCTATTGGACCCCCCAAAATTGGGATTTCCAAAGAATCCTGGATCTGAACATCATACTGGTAGTGGCATCTGAGATTTTTGGGAAATGCCTTTTTTCCCCCCGGTCCAATAGACCCGAACAGAAAAATACTGATTAAAAAAAAATTGTACACCTCTATCTTGTATGTAATGTTTTTTAACAGCCCTTATTTTAGCAATGCATTAGTATTATTAACTGCTCTGGGCGTTTACTCTCCTGTTCAAGCTTTCTTCCATTCTTTTCCACACACTAAGACTGGCTATTCCTCTGGTATGGGTGAGCGCCCTTTGTTTCAGCCCCGTATTAAGACCATCTTTCTTAAAGAAGCTTTCCCTTAAGCCCCCATTTACACCATCTTTTCTTCAACTTCCTCTTCCGTCTAACCCCAATTTTCTATTTTCAGTTCCTGGTTCCTCCATCTCTTTTTCTTGCCTTTGCAATGATTGTTTCAGTATTGTTTTTGAATAGCACCTGTTGGCTCTGTACAGATATTAGCTAATGGTGGTATGTTTTAACAGTGTATCTTTATATTTTATAAGCTGCCTTGGACATTACAGATAAACAGGATATAAATATTTAAAATAAACAAATAAATAGTGGCAGTATTAACCATTCATAGTTTCTTCTTCTTTCTGATCAGTTTATATATGGTACTTTTTATTACACAAATCCATTCCTGTTCCAACCAGATACAGAATGCCTTTACATCTAGTCAGCTTGCATTGCCAGGTCTGCTTAGCCTCATCTGTAGAATTGATGATATCAAACGTTTTAATGTCAATATCAATGTTTTCTCCCTCTAAGTTTCTTT